TAGGGTTTTCAATGGCTGTGACTTTTGAGAAGTAGAGATTTCTTCTGAGGTGTGTCTGGGTGGATCTGAACCTCCAACTTTTGGTCAGTAGCAGAGTTCAACTGTTTGCACCACCCAAGGGCTCTATTCATACAGTTGTTGTTGTCAAGTGCCTTTGAGTCGATTCCGACTCATAGTGACCCTGTATAGTTGCTGTTGTCAGGTGCCATCGAGTCAGAACCGACTCACAGCGACTCCATGCACAGCAGAACTAAATAATGTCTGATCCTGGGCCAACCTCACTGCCGCCACACTTGACGCCATCAGTGAAGCCACCTGGCTGATCCATCTCGTTGGGGGTCTTCCTCTTTTTCTCTGACCCTCTACCTACCCAGCATGACGTCCTTCTTCAGTGACTGTTTTCTCCGAACAATGTATAGTAGGGAGATTAAAAATTTAGTAAATTATTTTCCTTCACTTCCCTTTCCTATTCTGATGATCACAGGCAATGGGCAATGTAATGTAAGGGACGTTTTTGTTGTTGTTAAGTACCCTGGAGTCGGTTCTGACTCATAGTGACCCTGCACTGGGTTTCCAAGGCTGTACATCTTTACGGGAGCAGAACACCTCACCTTTCTCCTGTGGAACCACTGGTAGTTTCGAACTGCTGACCTTGAGGTTAGCAGCCCAATTCGTAACCACTACGCTACCAGAGCTTCTTAATGTAAGGGACAGCGAAAAGCAAAGAATGCACGGGCCTCAACAATGTAGAAAAAAATTAAGCAGACAATAAAATAGGTAGCCCTACATTAATACATCACTAACTTTCTTCTTAAAGAGCTCTGGTAGCATAGTGGTTATGAATTTGGCTGCTAATCTTATGATCAGCAGTTCAAAACTACCAGCTGCTCCGCGGGAGAAACATGAGGCTTTCTGCTTGGATGAGGATTTGCAGCCTCGGAAACCCTGTGCAGGGTCACTATGAGTCGGAACTGACTCCATGGTACTTAACAACTTTCTTCTTAATCTGTTAACACTTTGAAACTCATGGAAAACAGTATCCTCTTGGCAAGGTAACAGAGTGTAATGGCTAAAGGTCTTTAAAAGTCCAACAGCTCAATTATTATTCTGACTTTCCCATTATATAATTACTGTATGAGGGTTCTGGTGTGGTGCTGGAGGATAAGTACTGGACTGCTAACCTCAAGGTCTGCGGTTCGAACCCAAGCTGCTCCTCAGAAACCCTACGCAGGATCGCTATTAGTCGGAACCGACACAACAGCACTTAAAAATTACTGTGTGACTTTCAGTCAGATATTTTCTTTCATTCACTGGTCAAAAACGTCTGTTTCCATATGGGTAAACCTAGGCAAATGAATCCTGTACATGGGATCGACTGTTGGAAGGAATAAAGGAAATAATGCATATTAAAACACTTAGCACACACAACTAATGGTACTTTGCAAATGCTCAATAAATGTGAACTATTAATAGTTTGAAGTCTAGAAAGTCGGACAATGAACAAAGTGAATTCAACTATAAGAAGTCCATTACTCTATTCCTTGGAGATTTGCTTAATTTACTGATAAATATATGGTGTTATCAATTCAGGTTTTATTTAGACAATCACTACTGACTCGATGATTCTTGCCAAATGTGCGCTCTTCTCTTACAGGGAAAAACAAAGTCATCTCAGGGATACGAAATTGTTTGTTTGGGAAACCGTTTTCTACCCCAGAGGCAGGTGGAACCTGAGGTCTGCAAATTAACCACTAGAGTTCTCCGTGGCTCTCACTTCATTAGCATGCAAGGCCTAATTTGGTGAGAATAGGGAGGAAGGGGGCAACATAACCAAATACCTAGATATAAATAAAGTACCACTCGGGTAAAATGGGGTCAGGCCGATCTCCTCCCAGAAGGATGAGAACTGGACACTTAGGAAAACGGATACCGGAACTGACAACCCCCGCCTGTCAGCTGCGAGCCAGCAACCCGCAGGCAGGCTGGTGCAGAGGGAATCTCAGGGCGCCCGTTCCGAGCCAGGCCCGGGGCGGCCGAGGCCTGGCTCGGGGCAGGGGGTGTGTCGGGAAGTACCTCCCTCGGGCCCCTTCCGGGATCCAGGAGGCCCGGGGCCCCGCCAGCCCCGGAGGGACAAGGATGGGGACCTGGGACTGGGTTCGAGGAGCTGAGGCCAGGGAGGAAAGGGCCTTTGAGGTCCTCACCGCGGGCCGAAGGCAGTGGGTAGAGCTTCTCGGCCTTCTGCAGGAATCGCTGGGCCTTCTCGCGGTTGCCGGCATTCAGAGCTTCCCTAGCGATCTCGACACATTTCTCCGCCTCATCCCGGTTCCCCTCCATGGCTTGTGCCTTCTTGCGTTTCCTCTGGTAGTGCAGTTGCGAGGGGCGGAAGCCACCGCCACCGAGAAAGTAAGGCCAGGCCCAGGCGGGGGCGTGCGGCGGAGAGCAGGGAGGAGCGCCAGGGACCGCGGTGGCCCGGGTGGCGGACAGGCGGGCGGTCCTCGCAGCTCCGCCTCCTCACGGCGGCCTCCCCGCCCCCAGCGGGCCGCTAAGGCGCGAGCTGCATCCCTTCCGGCCCGGGTACTGAACTCCTAGGCCTGGGTGTCGGAGTTGATTCGGCGGCGTGTGCGTGGCACTAAGGTTGTGGCCTGCGCTAGCCAACCAACCCGTGGCAGGGATGTGAAGGGAAGAGAGGAGCGGGTGATACCAGCCCGGCTGCTCGGCAAGAATGTTCCGCAGCGGCAGAGACCCGGTCGCCGGCATTGGGCAACCTCTGGTGGACCGAAGCCCGCCTCTAGGAGCCCAGAGCGACTAAATGGGAGGGGGTGCTCGGTTTTCGTTTAAATTCCCAGGACTTGAAGGCCCCGCCCCTAAGGGAAGTATTTGGTCAGGTGAAGATCTTGCCTCAGACCCTACACAGAGCTTCCGGAAGGTGTTCATGGTAGTGTTGTTTGACCTTAAACCCGGTACTTTTTCATTGCTTTTTTACTTCAGTTACTTACTAGCTTTCTGACCCAGATTTCATTAGATTGTTAGGCCAGTCAAAAAGACAAAGTAGTTCCGTTTGTATTTTTTCTGGTGAAGAACAGCTGTAACACTAACCCTAGACAGACCTGATCTAAACAAAGCAGGAACCAGCCCTTTCATAATGCATGTTGTTCAACACCAATGAGTCATTCCGATTTGGCCACCCTGTATAGCGTTTCCAAGTAACAGCTGACGATGAGCTTGAACACAACCATCAGTTTCCTCTCCTTTTCCCAGTTTTGACTGTACTACCCGTGAATTATGTCAGTTTCTTCAGGGTAGAAAGGGGGAGAGTGATTTTTTGGTAATATCTACATCCAAATTTTTTGGTTAACAACTCACTTGTGTCAAAATGGTTCTCTATTCACAACCATGAGAGGGAATTTCTAAGTTTGTGTAAATTTAAAATTGTATGTAATTTTTCACTTTTTATAACCCCTTGTACACAATGTTGCCAAACATCAACTACCATATTGAGTACTTTTATCATCTGTAAAATTAAGTGCCAGATTCAATTCCATCTCATAGCAATCCTGTACAGGGTTTCTGAGTAACTTGGTGGGTTTAAACCACCAATTTTGTGGTTCTACACCCCCTAAGTATCTTTTAATTTCCCTGTGTTTAAAAAAAAAAAAAAAACCTGCCTGGCCCCAAAAGCATCACACTTCCTAAGCTATAATCTTCTCCTAGTAAAATACAGCAGGCTGCATTATTGTCACAGAGCAAACAGCCAATGTACAATCTGAGATGGCTAAGCCTAAAACAGCAACACCTTAGCTCACCCAACTGCTGCCAAAGCCCATTATTTAACATTAAAAAAAATAAAAATCATACTATGGCCACTTTACTGTTGATCAGCAAGTTTAATTCCAAGGTTAGAAACATGCTTTATAATGGCTGGATTCAATAAATTCTTGTTAAAATCAGGCAAATTAAAAACAACAGCTAGTTTGGGATATGACCTTTATTGAGCTTATCCACCAGAGTGGAAATAATGTCTGTACAAAACCAAATGTTTGTTACTATAACTTCTGCATCACAATTAAAATCCAAACAGTTTTTTAAAAACAGTCAACTCAATCAAAACCCACTACTTCAGAATCAATAGCTTCTTTGAAGCCACAGTAACACTTAAATATGGTTAAGACTCGAATGCAGAAATTTGGTTGGTTGAAAAGCTAATTAAACTTCCAACTTGCTCAAATAGAATTACAAAAAGGCAAAATTGTGTTTTGTTTTTTTTTCACAGAGATACAGTCCACTGGAATCACCAACACTGGACAGCTGTTAGAGTATTTAGAGTCCTGAGATAATAAGGAATCCAGGCATCCTTTAGACAGTCTTCTGTTGTCCTTTCTTCCCGATCAGAGATTTGTGGATGTGTGGGATGACACCACCACCAGCAATTGTAGCCTTGATAAGGGAGTCCAACTCTTTATCTCCTCGAATAGCAAGTTGCAAGTGACGAGGGGTAATGCGCTTTACCTTTAAGTCTTTTGATGCATTTCCTGCCAGTTCAAGAACCTCTGTGGTTAGGTACTCCAGGATGGTTGTGCTGTACACAGCGGCAGTCGCACCCACAAAAATATGGAATGCTTCACGAATTTGCGTGTCATCCTTGCGCAGGGGCCATGCTAATCTTTTCTGTATTGTTCCAATTTTAGTATATGTGCTGCCAAAGCGAGCACGGTCCATCGTATTTTGTTTTCTTGATTTTGAGGCATAATCCACACTGAAAGCTCTAGTCTTTTTGAACTTCATCAATAAGCAGTGTTTCAAATCCTTGTCCCTTTCAGCAAGATTGTGTCATCTGCACATTTCTGGTTGTTAATGAGTCTGCCTTCAATCCTGGTGTTATGTTCTTCTCCATAAAATTCAGTTTCTTAGATTATATTTGCTCATCTTAGAAATTGAATAAATATGATGAAAGGATACAGCCTTGATATCTACCTTTGCTGATTTTAAACCATTCAGTATCCTTTTGTTCTATTTCTTGGTCTACGTACATGTTCTACATGAGCTGGTCCTGAATTCCATTTTTTGGGAATGTTAGCTGTAGCTTGTCTTGAACCACATAGTTGAATGTTTTGCATAGTCAATGAAATACAGATAAAACCCAGGCGCCCTGGTAGCATAGTGGATTATGAACTGGGCTGCTAAACGCAAGGTCATCAATTCAAATCTACCAGCCACTCTGCATGAGAAAGATGTATAGCCTCGGAAACTCAATACAGGGTCACTATGAGTCAGAACTATCTCGACAGCACACACCACCATCACCAAAAATCTTTTTGGTATTCTCTACTTTCAGCCAAGATACATCAGCTGTGATACTCCTTGTTCCAGGTCCTCTTCTGAATTTTATTTGCATGTGATATTAATGATTAATAATGTTGGCATTCTGTAGGATCACCTTTCTTTAGAATGGGCATAACTATGGATCTCTTCCAATAGGTAGCTGTCTTCCACATTTTTTGGTATAGAGGAACAAGCATCTCAAGCACTGCATCTGTTTGTTGAAGCATCTCAGTTGGTATTCTGGGAATTCCTGGAGCCTCATTTTTGCCAATGCCTTTAGTGCAGCTTAGACTTCTTCCTTCAATACCATCAGTTCTTGATCTCATGCTACCTTCTGAAATGGTTGAAGGCTGACCATTTATTTTTAGTTCAGATGTTTTCTTGAAATCTGTTTTGAGATTGAACAAATCTAAGGATCGCTGGTATCTGAGTAGAAAAGAAATCATTTGGCTGAAAATAGGATTCCCCCACAGAGCAACATGGAGAAGTTTGGAAACTAAACCAGCTAGACCGAGAACTTCTCACTGGACTGGTCAGATGGCCAGTCATTACACAAATGGGGGAAGACGTTCATTGCCTCAGGGTTTGAAAGAAAAGTTTTCTGAGGTCCTTCTCAGTCCTAACATTCTGTTAATTGATTTTTTTAAAACCTGAGAACCTCATATACCTATGTATCTATATGAGAGAAGGAACATTTAGGCATGCATGTTTGTGTGTGTGTGTGTGTGTGTGTGTGTGTGTGTGTGTGTAATGGGAAATCAAAGGAGGTCTTTAGAGAGTGTAGGTTCCTGGGTGGTACAAATGGTTTGTGCTTCACTGGTAACTGTGAGGTTGTCAGTTTGAACCTACCTGGTGAGACTGTAGAAGAAAAGACCTGGCAATCTGCTTATGTAAATGTTACAGCAAGAAAACCCTATAGAGCTCAGTTCTGCTCCTTAACACACAGAGTGACCAGGGGATAGGATATCATCCATGGCACAAGATAGCAACAATAACAATTTAGAGACTAGGAAAGAGTGCAATAGGGAAACAGAGTGATTGTTCTGTTCCTCTACCCTTTACTTTAGAGTAGTAGGAGTTTGAAATATTTTCAAATGAAGATGCCAAGAGCTAGGTGCTAAAGAATCCCTGATGGTGGGATAGCAAGCATTCTAGCAGTAGGGATAACTACTCTAAGTGATGTTACTCTTGTGGCTCCTGTCATACCAAGAAGGTATCCATTTCCTCCATGCTCAAGGGAAGTTTGCCTTGTTCCTGATAATCAAGGGCTCTACGATGCCTCTGTCATACACAGAATTAATTCCAGTAACGTGATTTTTCATTTTAGCCAGTCCAGATTGCCAGATGAGAGGCAACATCAGGAACACAAGAGTCGTTCACTTTATTCCATGGCTCAGTTTTGAAATAAATCTAAAAATGCATGAAAATTCTAAAATTTCTAAAAAACATTTTTTTTCTTGGATTTTCAAAAGACCCCATTGTTTATTTGTTTGTATCTTTGTTTTATTTAGGGGGGTTGTGTTTTTGCCAGTAATGTGCTGCAGCATTATGCATTTTAATGAGAATTCCAGCTGATTCAGAATTTAGAAGCAAATGTAATCCAGTACTCAGGGACAGGCACCATGTGGCCTAGACCTCAGGAGCCAGGAGACAATAAAATGGTTACAGTGATGCATGTTTATAGTATTTTCTCCTGTTGAGTATCATGGAGATTATTATTAATTTTCTTTTTAAACACACAGCTTTTTCTTTCTATCTGTCTCTGACTGTTTGTCTCTCTGGCTGCTTCTGTGTGTCTTTCTCATTTGTTTACCATGACAAGTTAAATAGCAGCTAGGGAGTTAGGAGGCTAAGAGTTCTAATCACAGACTCACTGTTAGAATAAACCACTCTTATTTGGAATTGGGATTGAGGGAGAGAAGGCAGAGAGATTTTTAGGAAAGGCAGGTAAACTGAAAAGAAGAAATGGACAAAACAACACAAGAGACTATAGAACAGAGGCCAACAGTTTTACCCTAAACCCCAGGGAAACTTCCCAAAAGGAGAGTACTGCCTGCTGAGAGGGTCCTGACCACTTGAATGAGTTCCCATATATCTCTTCACAGAGGCCCAAGAGAACTTGGCAGTGAGATTAATAAATGGCTAAACCAGCTCCTTGCCTGTCAAGAAGTTTTAGTTAGGTCCCAAAGACGAGATGGTTATTCAAAAAATCAATGCTATGTGAAAATGGAGGATGACCACATCAGATCACAAAATAGAGGATGACTGCATCATTATATAACTTCCATGGATGGCCAGATATGGAACATTCCAGACTACCAGAAAAATGAACACAGTTGTGTTGGAAGAAGTAGCCAGAATGCTCCTTAGAAGCAAGAATGTCAAGATGTAATCTCACACACTTTGGACATCAGGAGGGAACAGTCCCTGTACAAGGACGTCATTATGAGAAAGTTGTTGTTGTTGTTAAGTGCCGTTGAATTGGTTCCGACGCATAGCGACCCTGAACAGGGTTTCCGAGGCTGTAAATCTTTAGGGAATAGAAAGCCTCCTCTTTTTCCCATAGAAGGCCATTAAAAAAGACCCTTGATGAGAGACAGTGACACAATGGTTGCAACAATGGGTTCCCCCCTAGTGAGGACAGACAGCGGTGCAGATCTGGACAGCATTTTGTTCTCTTCTAATAGGGTCGTTATGAGTTGGAACCAACTCTATGGCACCTAACAACACACAACTGCCAAAATGCAGAGAATCTTGGTTCAGCCAAACTGCCATATAACCTTAACCAGCACAGCCAGGGTTATTCTTCTCACCTCTCACTTTGGCACTATGCGAGACATCCATTGTTAATGCGCAAAATAGTGAAATAGTAGATCTTTTACTATTGTCATAAATGTGACATGTCAGATCATGAGCTAGTCGCTAAGTGAGGAGTAAATATGTTTGTCATTTTACAGAATCATTGAAAATGCTGGGGCAATAAGAAGACTGCTTTTCTGTCAAACACACCACATTTTCAAAAAGGCAAGGAAACTGGGTTCTGAAAACAACAGATTGGTGAGCTCAATTGCAATTTCAGGTAAAGTTCTAGACCAAACTTAAATAAAATTTATTATAGAGAAGACAATACACATACATAGACGAGAACAAAGGAAAAGAAGCGTCATGAACCCATTGCCCAGATACAAAACTGTTGACTCTTTGCCATTTGTTTGTTTGTTTTCTATTTAATTGTGTTACACTGAAGTTGATCTAACTGGCCACTGTGTAAACATGTACTTAAATGTCAGGTCCTCCACCCCACCCCAAGTGTCTATTTCGCAATGGTAGGCAATGGAGACCAAGATTCGAAAGACCCAAGCATCCTAACATTATTTCCCTTTATTACCCTTTCAAACCATGCCTCAGTCCCTGTATCTTGAAGCCCTGTTGTTCCAAGGTTGTGCATATATCATCATTTACCTCTGTCCATCTAGCCCATGCGAACCAGCCTAACTGTTCTCCCATCCACCTTGTTCTTCTTTCCCCCTCCCCCTTCTTGTGTATTGCCAGCTGCCCCCTTCCCCCACCAGCACCCAGGCTCTCCTGTGTGTATTCCCTACCCTGTGCTCTATCTTCCCCTCCCTCCCCTCCTCTCATCCTATACATCCCAGTGATCAGCAATTATATATATATATATAGCTTTTTGTTTTGTTTTGTTTTCCCCTTTTTGGTGGGTTCTTTTTCTTAGTCTTTTATAATAATGGTCTTATGCAGTATTTCTCCTTTTGTGACTAATTTCACTCAGCATAATGTCCTCAAGGTTCATCCATGTTATGTGGTGGCTTGCAGCTTCCTTGTTGTTCTTCAAGGTAGCATAGTATTCCATTGTGTGTATGTACCATAGTTTGTTTATCCATTATTCAGTTGATGGTCCCTTTGGCGGCCTCCATCTTTTTGCTATTGTAAATAGTGCTGCTATGAACATTGGTATGCATATATCTACTTGTGTTATGGCTTGTATTACTAGTGGGTAAATACCAAGTAGAGGAGTTGTTGTTGTTAAGTATCGTTGAGTCTGTTCCTACCCATAGCGACCCTGTATAGGGTTTACAAGGAGCAGTGGTGAGCTTGAACTTCTGACCTTGCAGTTCAAATGGCTTTGCAGTCGGGTGCATTAACCCACCATGCCACACCAGGACTCCTGCTGGATTATAAGGTACTTCTATTTCCAACCTTCTGAGGAAGCGCCATATTGCTTTCATGAGTGGTTGGATCATTTTGCAGTCCCACCAACAATGTAGGAAGGTCCCAGTCTTTCAGCATCCTCGCCAGCATTTATTGTCTTCTGCTTTTTTTAAATCTTTGCTGTTATTCCTGGTGTGAGATGATAGCTCATTGTTGTTTTGATTCGCATCTCTCTGATGGCTAGTGATCATAACCATTTCTTCATATGTTTGTTGGCTGCCCAGATGTCCTCCTTGATGAAGTGTCTGTTCATGTCCCATGCCCATTTTTAAAAAAAAACAACCAATATTTTATTGTGAATTATGTGATAGTTTACATGGGAGAACATTAGTTTTCCATTCATCCTATAATATATCATTTCATTGCTATGGTTACAATCCCCTACATGCATCATCAACCAACCAAAGGGTATACACTGCAACCCTGGTCATCAGCACACAGCCCCTCTCCCTCTCTGTGTCTAAAGTCCCCAACACTTCCATCTCTCCATGTCATCGTCTCTGCCTCCATCTCAGGCA